GGTAATCATCTTCAATGTATTTGAATATTTCAGTCAGAAGTTCAAGTGGCAAACTAATTATTTCATGCATTTTTTTTAATAATTTGTTTGATGAAAAAAATTTTTTTATATAAAATTATAATGGCGAATACAATGCTCAAACCAAAAGATTTACCATGCTTATTTGAAATTCTTGTGAAACTAAGGAGAAACTGAAATGGAAACTGAAAGAACATAACTTTTGGCTACTTTCCTGAATTATTTTCATTACTTAATTGCTAATAATTATTTTATTTGAGCATTTAAAAAAGATAGATAATTCAAGTTCATCTATCTTAGAAGAAAGTGAATGAAAAGGCCTATTGAAGCTCTCATTTATGAAATTTTGAAAGATTAAATTCATCAAATAATTATAGACATAAGAAAATTCATACATATATTCATCTATTAATTCCATTTACTATGAACATAAGATATTCAAATTTATTATATATGTATATCCATTAATTATAGATGTAAGAAAATTCAAATTTATTTTACTTTCTCAATATACTCATCCATTAATTCCATTTATTATGGATGTAAGAAAATTCAAAATTATTATATTGCAAGCAAACAAATCCCAGCTACAAGCTTGTGACATGTCCAATAATATATATGAATAAGATAAAGCATAAAGTCCAATAATATATAATCTTCCCTGGCTCCCAGCTCAAGAATTCCAATATTTATACACAAAGCTAGTAGCTTGTTCATGCAAATCCTTATTGTTTCATGTTCTAAACTACAATGCCTTTGAGTAATTAAGTCTGTGCATCAAAAAAACCTCATTCAACCAGAACACTGGTTGGTATAATAAGTTTATTATATTAAAAATTAATAAGTTCAAATAAGCAGAATGCAAAAGTTAGAATATCAGTGACTGTCAAGTGGTTTCTGGCCCAAAACTCAAACAGTTCTAAGTTTCAATTGAAATCCTTTGTTTTGATATAGTTTTCTGAATATTAGTATTAAGCCATTGTTTGTTAAATATATAATGTTTTATACTAAATAATTCTGTTACAAGTATGTGTAGTGAACAAATTTCTGAATTACATTAGATTTTCTCATTTGGAATCTTGTCACCAAGAATTATGCACCAATATTTACTGCCTATATATGTCAAATTCTGTCAATAAAGATAATTCAAGCATGTCATTTTATATAATAATAAAAGAATAAATATTAATAGTTGTAGTTTGCAAACTAGAGAAATGCTTTGTGAATTTCTTTTTATATTAATTAATTAAAAAAAGAAGGAATTTTTTATTTTTTTAATTATTTTATTTTATTGAAGCTAATCTTTTATTATGGATTTTGCCAGTGATAAAGGCACATTCTTATCCATTGAAATTATTAGAATATCTGCACATTTACTGGGCATCATAGAAAAATATCTGTGAAATTGAAATCAAATCTAAAATTAAAGTTTTGGTTGGGTGTGAAATTTTGATTGGCTAATTTGAGTTTCACATATGTGAATAGACAAGTGGAACTGAGTTCTTGAAGCATATGATCCATAGTTAAAGAAAATATCCTTTATTTATAAAAGCAAAAAAAGAAGTGAATCTTTACAATTATTTTTGTAATTACTCAAATCTTTTGTAGCAACATTTCATTTTTAAATTAAGAAAAAATTGTTTGTAACATTGTTTCAAATATTTTTAAATATTCCTTTATAAAAATCTTTATTATATATTTATAAATGCAAAAATAAAATAAAAACAAAGTATAAATGCTTGAATATATTTATAATAATAATAATAATAATAACAGTAAGAGGCATGGTGATAAGTCACTTCAACCACAAGAAATCTAATTTAAATAGACAAAATATAAAAATATCATTAATAAAAAAACAATAAATCAAATAGTTGTTACTAATAATTGAGGAAGATTTGTAAAATTCAATAATCTAATTGTATAAACAGGATTTAGATGAACAGTTGCTATAATTGCTGAAAAATTTAAAAGGTTTTTTTTATCTGCTTTCTCAATATTTTCCTAATTTTTTCTAATTCATCAAGAATCAATCAAACAAACCATAATATTTATTTTCTATTATTGTTAAAAACCCTAAATCTTGATATTTTTCTAATATTTTTCTTCCATCACTTTCTAGTAAAATTTCACTCTCAGAATACTTATAAATTCCTACTACTAAAGGTTTAGGTCCTCTCCAATTCTTCATTAGAATATCCAAAGAATGGTCACTGACATTATAAACATTACAATCAAAAGTTATTGACTTTAAGTTTTCTGGTAATGTTTCATTTAATACTGTCAATATTTTATCACAATTTAATGTATCTCTAGGAAAATTACTAAATGTAATACTTTTTAATTTAGTGCAATTATTAAGCACTTCCATTAATTCCTGGTCTAATTCATTCTCATATAATATAAATAAATCTTCTAAATTTTTACAATATTGTGCAATTGATTGAAATATCTTTTTCAAGAATTCATCATTATCACCCCAAACATCTAGATTTTTAAGATTTTTTCCATTGATATTAATAAAATCAGACAAGTCTGATGTAAATGGTTGATAAGAAATATATAATTTCACAGATTCAATATTTGGTAGTGAAATATTTTTCAAGTTTATCATTTTGTTATTAGCATGAATTATTAATTCTAAAGTCTTTAAATTTTTAAAAGTTGGTAATAAGAAACTATTAAAATTATCCTCATTGCCATGAGATCTATAAAAAATTATTGATTGTGAATGTGTTAATATTGCTTTTTTTAATTCATCTGGTAACATTGTTGATGTAATAGTTAAATATTTAATTTGCTCTTGTGCTTTAATTAGCTGTGCTAAATTATATATATTTTTGTTATTACTATCACAACATATTGTTAATGATTGAATATTTTTACAAATATTTGCTAATTTGTAAAAAAATTCACCACTATCAAAACTCTTACAATCTATTCCATAAAGATTCTGAAAACAATTATCAAATCTATGATGATTAATTAATGAATTATGACCTATATAAAAAAAATCAAACCTTCTAATACCTGCTGAGTGATCTAGAATAAAGTTTCCCAATTTATTTTGTAAAATTTGATATAAATCTAAATCTTTATTTTTTATCAAGCATTGAAAAATACGATGTTTAGAAAATATAGTACAAAATCTGGCATAATTGTATAATGGTGGTTTCTCCAATAGTTCAAATGTTAATTCAATGCAATTGCTAGTTAAGAAATCCTTGTCTTCTTCTAATATACAATTAATTAATATTTTGATGCTGCCTTCACAAACAAATGGATTCTTCCATAAAGTTGGAATATTTATATTGTGCCATTGTTTGTTGACAAGAATACAAGAATACAATTCTTGGTAATCATCTTCAATATATTCGAATATTTCAGTCAGAAGTTCATGTGGCAAACTATTTATTTCGATCATTTTTTTTTAATTTGTTTGTTGCACAATATAAATGAAAAAAAAATTTATTTAAATTAAAAATAATTTATTTTGGAGAACAAAAGGGCAGCTTTATTGTGCCAGCAATTGATGGCCAACTAATTAATAGTTTATATGCGAGGAATTAAAATGGTAATATGTAGTAAATATATATAAGTGTAAATATTATTATATGAACATTATTTAATTAAAAGAATTATTGTTGTATTTAGTTGAGGTAATTATTCATTTATATGATTAGATATTACATTCAGAAATCAAAAAGGCTCCATCTCTTTTTATAAGAAAATATTAATTAGTAACCATCAAGATTGTAATTTACATTTGCTACCTCCTGTCACTATGCTAATGTTGGCTAATTTTTCTTTACCTATACTTTTAAATTTGCACAAAATTTAGGAGGTTTTTAGACTGAGCTAACCATATAATCCTATTTTTACTGATAATTAACACTCTTTCCAATGTACATGTTCAAAGAATATTTTCACAAATCTGATAAAAAGCAAATTGAGAATAGTCATTGTAAATATTAAAAAATGGTGATGATCAACAAAATGTGCGCATTTTTTATGTAACGCAGGCGCCCGCACTCAAATTTCCTACACTCATTAATATTAATAATGCTAAATGATGACGACAGAAAAATTGCGATATTGAGAAATTATGAATGAAGAAGTTTTTGAAGATTTAATTGCTGATATGGATTCAGTTAACCTTAACAATAAATCATCATCGAAATCAGAACAAAATTCAAATTTAGTTGATATCACGAAAATTAAAATCGAACAAACTACAACTACGCAAATCACACCTAAAACATCTACAAAAACACCAACACAAAAGGGTAATAAACGTATAGACATTATTGAAGAATACAATAAACGTAATGCTGAAAAAGAATCTTTAAATTTAGTTATTATTGGTAAGTTCCTTAACAAACATTTCGATTTATTAAATGCCCATATTTATGTTAATGTTTATTTATATATATACATTTTTATGTACTTCTTTAGGTCATGTTGATGCAGGAAAAAGCACTTTGATGGGTCATTTACTTTATCTTCTTGGTGAGGTAAATGATAAAACAATGAAAAAATATGAAAGAGAATCATCAAAGATAGGAAAATCATCTTTTGCCTATGCGTGGGTTCTTGATGAGACTGAAGAAGAAAGAAATAGGTTAGATATATCTTTCTTTCTTAATATATCTCTTTTTACATATCTCTCTGTGTATAAATATTTAATAAAATTTTATTATGTTATTTTTAGGGGTATCACCATTGATATTGCAATGACAAAGTTTGAAACTAAAAATAAACGATTTACTTTATTAGATGCACCTGGACATCGTGATTTCATTCCTAATATGATTTCCGGAGCAGCACAGGTATTATATTATTCCAAACGCTTAATTTTTTCCAGTATATTTAATTTAATTTGTAATAATAATTATTATTATCAGGCAGATGCAGCAATACTTGTAATAGATGCTACAGTAGGTGAATTTGAAGCAGGATTTGATGCCAATGGACAAACAAAGGAACATGCATTGCTTGCTAGAAGTTTAGGCGTACAACAATTAGTTGTAGCAATTAATAAATTAGATAATGTAATTAATTATATGTGTTTAGTTTTCTATTAATTGATTTATAAATCAAAAAATCAATTGATCAATCAATCCATTAATTAAATTACTGCAATTATTCTAATCATTGTACAGGTAGAATGGTCAAAAGATAGATTTGATATAATTGTTTCGAAATTAAGTCAATTCTTATTATCACAAGTTGGATTTAAGAAAAAGGGTATTTTCTATATTCCTTGTAGTGGATTAACAGGAGATAACTTATTAAAAAAATCAGATAAATTATTAGACTGGTATAGTGGACCTACCTTGATCGAACAAATTGGTTTGTAAAAAAAAAAATTTTTAAAACCACCATTATTATTAAGTTTTTTTTTTTTCAAGGAATATTTTTCTTGCTAAAATCTTTTGATTTTTTTCTTTAATTACAGACAAGTTTGAACCACCAGTAAGACTTATAGAAAAACCATTCCGTCTTTCTATAACAGATTTTTTCAAAGGTGGTTCTGGAAGTTTAAGTGGTATTACAGTGGCAGGAAGAATAGAAACTGGTAGTTTACAAATTGGCGACGAATTAATTATTATTCCTGGCAAAGGACATGCAACAGTAAAAGGTAAGAAATAGAAAAATATGCTAATTAATTTAATAATATATTTATAATCAATTATATATTTTTTTAAAAAAAAAAGCAATACAAGTTTTGAATGAATCATTCAAATGGGCAGTTGCCGGTGATTCTGTTTTAGTTTCTTTGACAGGAATAGACATGATCCAACTTAAGTATGTATGTTAATTATATAATATACTTTTTGATTAATGTATGTAATGTATGTATATATATGTGTGTTAGATAATAGCGTTGAAATTAAAGTTTGTATTTTTTTTGTTTGTTTAATTATAAATAGAGTAGGTTCAATACTGTGCCCAATATCAAATCCTGTTCCTTTATCATCACAGCTTTTGGTAAGAATTGTTGTATTTGAAGTAAAAATCCCTATTACTAGAGGTTATAATGTAAGTTACCATTTAATATTTTACTTGGATGATTTCATTTGTTCATTATTTTTTATATATTATTTTTGTTTCATAATATAATAAGGTAATTCTTCATCGACAAAGTTTAAATGAACCAGCTATTATAACAAGACTTAAATCAATTATTGATAAAACAACTGGAGAGCAAATTAAAAAAAATCCAAGGTAAACAAATTAATATAATAATAGTACTAATAGTATTATAATAATAATAATAATCAGAATTATTCCCAATTCTCTAAAATAAAAAGACATATTCCAAAATCAACAGCTGCTATTGTTGAAATACAACTTCCTAACAGACCGATACCTATAGAGACATTTAAAGATAATAAAGAACTTGGAAGAATAATGATAAGAAAAGGTGGAGAAACCATTGCTGCTGGAATTGTTACAGAGGTTAGTAGTAGTAATAATAATAATAATATTTAATTTTATTGTTATCATTAATATTAAATTAAATTTTTCTTAGATTTTATCTTAAACTATAGATAATGAATTTGGAATTTTTTTTTATTGTAGAAACTTTTTTTGTATTTTCATTTAACAATAAAATTGATTATTTTTTCTGGTGATTTTGAATTTCTGGTGACTTCTAATATTTAAAGTGACTTTTATATGTATATTTGACAAGATTAAAACTTTGATATTATTTTGGCAATAATAATAAAAGGAATTGGTACTTTTCTATTGTTTCTCATATATTTAAGTAAATTAAAAAGATGTGCCGCAAGTGATTTCGTTAATTACATGCATTAATCCATGTAATACAATTATAGATAAAATGATTTTAAGGTTCACATTATTGTATATATAAAAATAAAGATAGATTCTTACCTTTACTAAATCTTGGATGTAGGATTAACGGGTCTAAACATTCAATAAAAATACCAAATGCCAACTAATTTGAGATCCTTTATTGATAATATTAAAGAAAAGGTTACATCAAACAATTAATATTAATTATTATATTTATTTCAAAAATAGATACAGTATGGTATTTTAATCAACTCCAGGCATGTTTTGAATAATAATCCGTTCATACATAGAATTTAAATCTTCCTTTTCTTTTATGCCCAAATATCTTTCGATTTATCACTATATCTTTTCTTCGCCATTGTGTCCCAAATTTTCTATTTTTGATCGGTTTAGTTTTACCTTCAAATATCAAAAAGTCACCTGATTGAGTCAAGTGATCAACCTATTTCGTATTTTATAAATTATTTTAGGAGTAATTGCACCAAAAATTAAAGAAGTTCATAAATCCTTATGTGCTGACACGATAGACCAGACAGTTGGCAAAGAAGAGTAAACATTAATTTGGTTATTTTTTTATTTTTATTTTTAATTTTTATATCTTTATTATCATTATTAAATATATAATTCTAAACTTAATGAAGAGTTTTATTTAATCAGGAGATTACATAAAAAATTTACTGTTTATACAAATTTTAATGGCGATAATAACAATAATTACTATTTAGTTTGCAGTCATGCAAGCCAGTGGCCATCTCATTAGAACAAAACTGGATCTTGGCAACTGTAATTGGATATAAACCTGAGGTTAAGCTGTAAGTATCTTCTTTAACTTTTCTTATTTTTATGATTATCAATATCACATTCATTTTCTTATCCATTATGAAGATGCGGTCCAATTTGAGGAATCAAATTGGTAATAAATTGTTTTTATTTCATTTCATATATATATATATATTAGATATTTAATGTACCAGAAATAACATGTTCTTCCCAATTGGAAATAAAGGAGAATTAAAGCTAATCAATTTAGAAAAGATCAACTTGTCTTGCAATGTATACCCAGAAACAACATGCTTTTACAAAGCAATTGTTGTCCTTCCACCTAGTAGGATTAAACCATCAAAAAAGAGCTGTTATTTACTTGAGTTTGAGGATGATGGACAGACATGCTCATAGATGTGTAGAATCTCAATATATACTTGATATTCTAAAAGGTAATTATTAATAATCATAATCATTATTATTATGACTATTATTTTATGCTTTTACATTCCTTTACCATATAAATATAACATATTAGAAATTCTTTATACTTACATTATTAAAGCTATTAGATCTGTACCATACATTCATTACTGACAAGTGTTGCAAATTACACTTTCTGTGTTTTTAAAACTATTTGTTGAATAATGAAATTATTGGCAACAATTGGAGGAGGGACCACTACAATACACCTGGTAATGTTTTGAATGCCCACAACAATTGGTGGATCCCAAAAAACATTTGATGCTCGAATATTAACTTGGTGGGCAATAAGGTTTGAAGCAATACAACCAGCAGGATATTACTATTTTTTTTTATAGAGTTCTAAATTCCCACTATCATATTGCAAAAGTCGCATCTTAAGACTAAAACAGTGGATCAATCTTAATTACTTTATCAATGATTATGATGGAAGTTTTTGTTGTTCACCAGATGGATTTTTTAACTCAAGGAAGTTCACCATTTAAAGTTTTTAGTTTAGATTCCTTTGACAAATTCATGATGCCCAAAATGTCCATGTACCACATTCTAATTATCTTAGTCCTTGAAAGAAGGTTCATCTATTTGGTATGCAGTATTGAACGTTCTTGGTAAAGATGAATTGGTAAAAAAGATCTTAACAATACACTTGGTATGGTCATTGATGAAATAAAGAAATCGAATAAAGATGAGAAGCATTTAAAGATTACTTGTGATAATGCTGGTAAACAAAACAAAAATAACTATTTGATTTTAAATTTTATGGTTCCTGAGAATGCCAAATCAATGTGATTGCATCTCAAAAAACTATATCAAAAGACAATGCTATGATATTTTGATATTTATATGACCATCATTATGATAACCATTATAAAGTAATTGTTTTTATTAAAATGTTTGATAAATTATATTATAAATAAAAAATTTATGAAAATAAATATTAATTTACTGAAATAGAAGAAGCATTATTGTCATCAAACATAGGTTCATTTAAAACTTTCTTTATATTTTGCCAAGCTATAGTATGATAATCTAGATCTCTATAAATAGCACTTCGTTCACATAATGCTAAAATATTATTAGGTTCATTTTCCAACACTTTATCAATATCTACCATTGACTGATTGATACATCCACGATAACACAATGCCCTAAGCTGTTCTTTGGTATAATTAATTGGTTCCGTTGTATTGGGATTGATTCCTAATGCATTGTTGAAATCTTTCAATGCTGCTTCTTTTTGGTTTCCTTTGGAACGATAAAGAGTCCCTCTTGCAACATATAAGGGTATTATGTCATTTAAAACAGCTTGTCCAGTTAGATTTGTTACTTCAATTGGGCCCGCCATTTTATTCTTATCACCTAGGTTCATCTTATCAATTTGTTTTTCTTTTTCTACAATTAACTTTGTTAATTCTTCAATTGCCTCATCTGTCTTATTAAAATATTGATAAGCTTCGAATTTTGCAGAAATAAATATTGTATTGTTTGGTGAAAGTTTCAGCAATTCATCATAATCCTTAATTGCATCTTCATATCTACACAATTCCAATAACAATCTAGCTCGATTCTCCAAATATTTCAAGTTTTTGGGTTCTGATTTCACCAATTGGCACCAATCATTCAATGCATCGTAATACTGATCTTGTGACTCGTAAATTTTTGCTCTATGAAGCAATATTTCTTTATTTTTAGGGGTTTTTTCCAACAATTTACTTAAATCTGATACAGCACCCTTATGGTCACCAAGTTCTTCATATATTAAAGCTCTCAATTCGTATGAGTTAGTATTATTCTCTTCTAATTCCAAGGATTTATTGATGTCATTTAAAGCTTCATTGAATTTATTCAGTTTATATAATGATTCACTTCTATCATGTAAGGCAATTGGATCATTCGGCTTCAATTTTAACACTTTATCAAAATCCTTTATTGCTTCATTATATTTTTTTGTATATGAAAAAGTTTTGCCTCGGTATCGATAGCCTGAAGGATTATTTGGTTCGATTGAGATTGATTTTTCTAAATCTAGCACAGCTTGATTATATTTTCCACTTAATGTATATATTTTTCCACGATTTCTTAAAAGTTTAGCATTTTGTGGTTCTATTCCAATAGCAGAATTCATATCTGACAATGAATTAACATAGTCCTTTCGTTCTCTATAGACTTTTGCTCTGGAAAGATATGCAAGAACGTTTTTTGCATCGATTGATAATGCCTTATTCAAATCACTCAATGCCTCATCATATCTTTTCAGAGCTTTATAGACAGTTCCTCTTTCAGATAGTCTTTTTGCATCATTTGGAAATAATTTTAATGATTCATCCAACAAATTTAATGCATCATCATACCGATTCAATTGTGCATAGAGTTGATTAAGTAATGTGGCAGCTTTAGCATCATTCCCCTTACCAGTCTTTAATGCTAATCTAGCATCTCCTACTGCATCTTGGTATTGCCGTAAAATTTGATAAATTTGTGCACGTCTTCTATAAGTTGATGCTTTAGGTTTCAAATTTAATGCTTTAGTGTAATCATTAAGTGCCTCTTTATATCTAGATAAACCTTGATATGCTTGACCTCGATTGCTGAATAGAGATGCAGCAATGGCAGATTTAGGATCTGGTGATAGTCCAGTTAATTGTTCTAAATCATTCAATGATTCCTCATATTTTTCTAATAATTTAAATAATTTTGCTCTTTTTAGTATAAGCAAAGGATTTGTTGGTGACAGATCCAAAGCTTTAGTGATATCTTTTAATGATTTTTGATAACTTGATAATTTTTTATAAGTATCCCCTCTAAGATGTAAAGCGTCAATATTGTTGGGTTCTGCCAACAAAACTACATTTAAACTACTAATTGCTAACGAGAACTCGTTTTTTTGATAATGTATCAAAGCTTGTTTATTTAATAACCAAGGATCTTGTGGTTTAATTATCAGTCCTGCATTCACATGGTAAATCATTTCGGAGTTATTTTTCTCTTGTGTAAAATACTCGGCACAAATTTTATGTGATTCAAGTGCCAATGCATTACTTGGTTCCATTTTCAATGCTTTACGTAATTCATCGATTGCTTTGTTTTTCTTATCAAAATCTCTGTACAATAATATTCCACGTAGAAATAGAGCATGTGATTTATCTGGTTTGAGTTTAAGAACATGGTTCAAATCTTCAAGTGCTTGTGATTTCTCACCAAGATTTAGAAAAATCTCTGCCCGTTCACATCTGTATGTACATGAGTTGGGTTTATTTTGAATTAATTTTGTACAATGTTCTAAAGATTCTTTGTGATTTTTTAATTTGATTGCCTTCAATAATTTTTGCCTTGTTGGATTTAATTTATTTGGTACCATCGATGCGATTAAATTTCTCCCGCCGCTATTACTATGTTCTGTTTTCGATCTAGGATGCTGCTTATCTTTGTCTTTTTTATTAAAACTTTTGATGTTGAATGATCTTGACTTTTTATGGAAAGTTGAAGAAGGAACGCCAGGATTAACATTATTATCATTGTCATCATCATCATCATCATCATTACTATCGACAACATCACTACTATAAATACTATTTATTTTACTGCCTTCTCCATTGATACTACTGTCTCTTGTGCGACCGTGACCTTTGCCATTACTACCACCTGTTTTACTGCCATAATCACCATTTGCGTCATCAATTTTCTTTTTACCCTGTTTATTTTAACACATATTTATTTAATGGGTTGAAACGACCTTGTTAACCAGAAAAAAACATTATATCTACCTCTCTGTTTTCATCAGAATCGTGAGATTTTCCTCCAAGCATATTTAAATTCATTCTTATTTATAATTTACAATATAAGTTGATAGAGTGAGTAATTCGATAAATTAATAAATTTACAAAAAAAAATTTATAAAAAAAGAGAAAAAAACGAGCGAAAAACTTTGGAAAATATTTAAAAGAAGAAAAAGAAGAAAAAAAAGTGGATTAAATAATGATGATTATTACAATATGCTTTTTATAAATTTGGAAATTTGTATAAGGGATACATACATGTTACAATCCAAAATTTTTATTTTGTATGTTTGACCACCCAACGTGTCTCTGTTCTATTTATAGGATATTTATTGCTAATTAAAAAATTTATATCAAAAAACAAACAAAAACCAATTAAATAATAATCTCAATTATTAATACAAAAGATTAGCCACCCCTCTCGCTCCGCTGAATTCAATCTCCCCTTTGCTCGGCGATTAATACCTTCAATTGCCAGATATACTATTAAATCAGTAACTTCGAACCCCGCCATAACAAATCTTTTAGCTGAATCACCTTCAATCAAAATTAATTACAGTATTGAGCACCTTTGATGTTGGCAGTAGAAGCAATTGCACGAACAGATGGCCTTTCCAACTACATTTACATTGTATGATTCATTTTACCTAACGTTTTGCTTGTATGTTTGCTTACTTTGGTCTCTCTTTTTTTTTTTGTTATTATTATACGGAAGTGTTATCCGACTTGCATTTATTTGATGGGATACAGTATATATTAATATATACAATTGATTTTATCTTACTACATTGGTAATAGCTTGTTTATTAAATGGGATTATCATTTATCAAATGATTTTACAAAAATGGAAAAACAACAATTAAATGTTGTAAAATAAACTTTACAAAAGAAAGAATGCATTTAATTCCTTCCTCCGGTTTTTCCATTCGTGTTGAAACTCCTCCTGGAGGCTCTAGATACAAAGCAATTGTGACATTGGACACTGCTATTACTATAGAACTATTGCTGAAATCCGTTAAAGAATACTTTGGAAAAGAAAATAAAAAATATGACGACTATAAACTTATATATATATATATATAATGAGCAGAACATACAATATACTTATATTCTTAAAAGGCAAGGATTAAAAATGGGTGTTTATTTGTAAAAATACTTATGGAATGCAATGTCAGTGAATAATTTTTTATTATTACAACAACAGGAAGAATTGCATTTAAAATCTATGTGGAAATGCAAACTGGTAAAATTATAGAACTTTATGTGACTAACAAAAACACTGTTTTGGATATTAGATGTGTTCCTGTTTATGGACAGGTTCTTTCATTTGATGGAAAGAATCGAGAGGCAATTATAGCAGTTTAAAAGGTTTTATTTAAGATTCAAAAGAAGTCAAAATTGTTCTTGTCTTTAAAGAAAAAGGAACAAGCTGATAATGGAACAGGCCCCTGTTTTTAATGGAATAATGTTGGTGGTATCTTTGAAATTTTGACATTAAAAAAGATCATCATATTTTGTGAAATCACAAACTGGGAAAACCATTGATCTATCAGTAGAAATGAGTGATGCCATAAAAAAACATGATATATGGTAAAGAAGATATTCCTCCTGGTCAACAAACACCTTATTTTTACTGATGAGCAATTAGAATATGGATGTACTCTGAATGATTATAGTATTCAAAAGCATTCCACATTGCATCTTATACATGGATATGTGGAGGAATGTTTCAAAACATATACAATGTAAAGCTCATGTTGGTATTGCTTGTAATTGTTGTGATAAAAAAGAATGGAAAAGAGCAAGGTAAGTAAATAATTAGCTCGGCCAAATTTTTTTTTTACAAACAATCAAAATATTTATTTTGTCTTGCTGATGCAATTTACTTATAATGCTTTTCTAATAGGTATAACTGTTCGATATCACAGCTAGCCTTATCAATGCTTCCAACAACGGAAAAAGAGATGTGGAAATTCCTACGCGAGGAGGAAAAACGAAAGCTATCACAACAACAATATTACAAAGTTGGAAGCGATCCCACATCTGGCAAGGACTAGATGGAGTTATTGATCAAATACAACATGGGTTGGTTTGAGAGTTTGGCTACTCAGATGAAGCTGTACAATTATTAAGACGTGCTTCACAACTTTATAAAGGTCAAAAGACATTCTCCCTTTTTTTTGGTCATTGTATTATCCCTAGCATTATTCATTAATTTTTCTTCCTTGTTTTTTTTTCCTTACGATTCTGAATTTTATAACACTCAAGCGTATGCTCGCAGCAACATTGCTTCCATTGGAGATCTCAAAAAAGGAATGCCAGCGCCTGATTGTCTATTGATTTCCCTAAATACTGCAACAAAAACTATCAGATAACTACCAAAAATAACTCAATTGCACTCTCTTTATAAACCAGGATGACCTTTTGTTGATTTCACACCTGTCCCTTGTATCATTACATACCTTATTTGCTCAATGACATTTATAAGAAAAGATAGACTTTTGCATGATTCAAATTCGTGAAGTACACGCTAGTAATGTTTGGTCTATTAGTAATATTGTAAATGTTAAAGAGCACCGTACATTGAAAGAATGATTAAAAGCTGCACATGAAATAGTTAATGAAAGATTTTTGTGTGCTGGCTGATACAATGGATAATAGTTTTTTGTAGTTATATTTGCCTTGGCCATTCCGATTTTTTATAACTTTAGATGGTATTTTTAAACTTGTTGAAATGCCAAAAGAAGCACACAGATCTAGTCAATTCCTTGAGCACTCTTATTTAAAAATTATACAGTGGGATTGTTTAAAAAATTAAATAAATATAACTTATATATATTTATTAATACATAAAATATTTTTATCCCGCATGTCGGAAGTTTGCTAGAAAAAATAAATATACAAATTTTGGTGTTATCATTAATATAAAGTAGAGGAAGATTTTTTATTCTTCTACTATTTATTGAAATGGTTTTAGTGAGCATGTTTGAGTTTTGAGTAAATAATTTGAAAGAAACTTTGCCTATATATTGAAAGTCTGATTCGGATCTTTCATCATTGAATATTATTATCACCCGAAATTAAACTATACTTTGTCATTGTAAATTCTTCTACAAGTACAAGTAATATGTGATGATAATTTTGAATTTTACGGTAATAATAACAAAAATTAAATATATTTTTACCATGAGAATCAAAAACATTATGATATCCGTGATTTTTTATCATTCTATGATTGAGTTTTTTTAAAAAAAATACGCGTAGCATCTTTTGTTTTTGAATAATTCTATAACTGAAGTTATAGACTTCCCCCAAAAATGTTCAGTCACAACTATCTAATCCAGCTTGTTGTAGCGAATGAATTTGTTAATATTATCATCATAATCCATGCTAATTATAAACACAAATAAAATCTTTTTTATAGTCCCTTTTTCTAAATAAATTATATCAGACATAGACCAATCTTACCAGATATCAAATATAAATACATAAACAACGATTTAAATAAAAAATACGAATTTTATATGATATAAATTAAAACAATTTCTGAGCAGAGATTTCTAAACCAAAGCATCAAAACATACCAATTAATAGAATTCCTTGATGTTATCTCCTTTTTGATCTTATATATTTGTTTATTTCTCGGATTGTAGTTTTTATCAGCCTTTTGATTATTATTATGTGTTATATCAAGAATATGGGTTCATTCCATTATTATTATTATTATTATTATGAGATTCATAAAATCTACCGGACTGCGATTTAGTTTTCGTGCATATTTTCGAGTCACAAATTTCTTTTCATTTCCAAAAAGCAGATAATGGCATCAGATCAATTTAACACTTTCATGGAAGGGTAAAATGTTGTCTTTTATTCATTGTTGCTGGTTTCCTTGGAGCTGTTTAGCATAAATATACTACAATCTTCAAGAATCTTACCTTGGATTCAAAACGCTACCCCACAAAAGCTTAGGTACTTAAAATGTGCTCAAAATGTACCTTAAAATATTTTGGTGGATGCCTTAAGTATGTTTTGAGCGTGTAATATTATACTAAAAACATACTTATTCATTGAAATACGCTTGAAAGATAGTTGAAATGCTATACAAAGTATATTTGAAATTTTCCACTATTGAAAAAAGTATATTTTAAGCATATTTTAAGTATCGCTTTTCTAATTTCTTTCAGAATAGCACAGTCAGTCATCTAATCATTTATTGGCCTGAATGATTGAATTGAATTAAATTTAATAACATATCCAAAAATCCAAAACTAAATCATCCATCGTCTATAATAATTTTATCATTTTGGTACACCTTTTTTAACTCCTACTGAAACGGTAGTGTTTATTTTATTATTGATAACTCAATATTTAATTTTACACGTTTATTGAACAAAGTTTTTCGTGTGACAATCGATCAGCATTGTATTTTTTAACTTTGTGAGTGAAGGAAGCCTTACCTAATATATCATTTTTACAAAAATTGGGGACTAGATACACTTTAAAGTCACTTGTAAACTCTTGACGAATATCCACATATAAAGATTAACCAAATTATATTTGTAATAAACAATGGAAACTGGCGTAAGTTTACGAAAGTTTTAGTTTCCTAATGATGTGGAAAAGGAAGCAGATATGTGAATGAATTGACAGCAAAGTTAAAATTGGATAAAGCAAGGTAAGAGACGTAAACAATACAGTACATCCAATTCACCTTTTGCTGTTCTAATTTGTTAATCCTTCTCGTAAAAAGTTCAGTTGTTGATTAGAATTAAATTTTATGCAATCATTCATTTTATTTGGTGATCTTGACAATTTTGACATCTTTTTTTTCTGGCAAATCTTCTAGCTATATTTGGCTATCTATACCAAATAAAGATAATCAATTTTTAGGTTACGCAATTAATAGATCAAAGTAAAAATTTAAAAAAAAATTTGATAAATAATCATCAATAATAATGTTTTTTGACGATTACGAAATCGATGAAGTATTAAAAGAAACAATTAAAGAAAAAGACAAAGATGAGTATTATTCTTCAGCTGATGAGTCAGAACAAGAAGAAGTTGTGAAAGATAAAGAGGAGAAAGTGAAAGAACGTGAAGAAGAGGAAGAGGAGGAGGAGGAGGAGGAGGAGGAGGAGGAAGAGGAGAAGGAAGAATTGAAAGTAATTTATCGGAATACTTTTATATTTTGAATTTAATGTTAAATTTATAAAGTTTATACCATTACATACGCGTACACATTTTTAAAAAATAACAGAATTCAACTGACTCATCTATACAACCAATATCATTTTCAATTGATCCAACGCCCACCAAAAATTATGAAAAATTACTTGAAGATCATGATGATGATGATATCAGCGAAGAGAATGATATTGCTAATGAAGGTATGATGAATTGGTTATAGATTCTTAATAATTTTAGATGTCAAATTAATTAATTAATTAATTGCTAAATAACTCCCAAAAAAAGAAACGTTGTCGTCGTCATCATCAAAGAAAATCGTTTGGCAAGATTCAGATGATGAAAACATTACTGTTTCTTTGAAAAATCAAAGTAAAATTCGTAAATTACGTGAAACTGAAGAAGAGGATTTGATATCAGGTGCTCAATATGAAATGCGATTAAGAAATCAGTGAAGTAAAACATATGTTCAAATAGCTTATGTTCTTTTTTTTTTTTTTTTCAAGATCATATTGTTTCATATTATTATTGAAATAAATTTTTAATTAAAACTTCATCGAAAATACAAATATATAATAAATTTAGATTTGAGAAACTTAATCCAACACCTAATTGGGCAACTCTTCCTTCAAAAATTTCCTCTGATAAAAATAAAAAAATAAAACTGTCAGATCCAAATATATCTGATGCTGATGATGTTGATGATGATAATAATCGTATAAAAAAATTATCAAATAAAAAACTTGATATCGCAACAGTGAAAAATGCAAATCAACAAGATTATTCAAAAGTTGTTATTATTATTATTATTATTATTATTATTATTATTATTATTATTATTATTATTTATTAATTAATTAATTCTTTAACTATTTATTAATAATTTTTTTTAAAGGGGGTAATTGAAATAGCAAGTTTTCATCCTACTGCACAAGTATTGATGACGGCAGGTTTAGACAAGACAATTAGATTGTTTCAGGTTGGATTTAACTACTACTATTATTATCATTTTGTCATAACTCAATAACAATAATAATAATAAATAAATAAATAACATTCACAATAATTGTCTTATTTTATTTATTTTTTCCTGACAGATTGATGGTAAAATAAATCCCAAAATTCAATCAACAATGTTTAAAGATTTACCAATATTTAATGCAGCCTTTAATCCAAGTGGTGAAGATATTGTAGTAACAGGTAGAAAAAAACACTATTATATTTATAATATTGAAAGTGATGTGATTGAAAGACCTAGAGATATTCATGGATTTAAAGATAAATCACTCGAGAATTTTTCAATATCACCATGTGGAAAATATATTGCATTTGCCGGAAAGAATGGATACATAGCATTGATAAGTTATAAGACAAAACAATGGATTACCAGTTTGAAAGTGAATGGTTTAGTAAAGTCAATTGATTGGTCTAGTAATGGTCAATATTTATTTTCTCTTAGCAGTGATGCTGAAATTTATCAATGGGATGTTGGTATGAGAAAATGTATTTATCGTTTTTTGGATTATGGAGGTTTTAAACCTACAAGAATATCCATATCAAAAAATGATTGTTATTATTCTATTGGGTAAAAATTTTATTTTTTATGTTGGAATTAAATATATATATAAATAATATATATATATACAATCCATATCATTATTAACAAAAAAAAAATTTTTTTTTATTAAAACATCACACAGATCAAGTACTGGTGTTGTAAACATTTATGACAAATCATGTTTAACCATTAAAGAACCAAAACCTTTGAAATCTTTTATGAATTTGACAACTTGTATTCACGATATGAAATTTAATCATGATACACAAATATTAGGGATTTCTAGTCATTCAAAGAAAGATCAATTAAAAATGGTAATATTTATTTTGATTATGATTATATTTATTTATATAACTTTAATATATATTTATTTTATATATGCATTAGTTTCATTTACCATCTCTTAATGCATTTCCGAATTGGCCAACTTTTTCAACTCCATTAAGTTATGTTCAATGTTTTGATTTTTCACCTGCTAGTGGTTATTTAGCTGTCGGCAATGATAAAGGCAAAGTTCTTCTATATAGATTAAAAGATTATCCAATTGCTTAAATTATTTTGTCTTTGGTTTAATAAATATTATAAAAATTAATTAACCAACTAAATAGTTTATTGTTTTTTTTTTTTTTGATGTCCAATGCTGATTTTACCAAATTGGCCTTTGGCCACCAAAAGTCAAATAAGATGCAATGCCTAATTAAAATTTTTACGTCAAGAATTGTCTTGCAAAAATAAAATCAGTCATATATGCATCAAAATTTGCAGAATGATAGGCATCAAGCTGACCAGGTTTTGTTGAAAGTAATAAAGTTGGGGGGTATAGATAAATACAGATACATATTCTCTTGTAATTATTGATGATGAGCCATCAGGTTCTTTTTGTTGTCGATTTTCAAACTCTCTTGCTTGTTCATCCAAAATAAATATAAATCATGTACCGATTTCAACTAATTTCTTTTATGCTAAAAATTCATTATGACGAGTTTATTAATTTTGAAATTTACTTGCATCCGTTTGACTGTAACAATATAATAACTTAAACTCTTCTAATTCGAAAAAAACGTCCTCTATCTCATCAAAGCCTAATGACAACAACGTTGACAATAATAAAACAAAAAAAATCACAGATTATACCTCATACAATTACTATTCTAGATACAACGTTTTTGGATGATGTTTTATCTGTTGAAACAGATTTTACTAGGAAATTAAATCTACTTAAAGATAGCCTTAAGAAAAAGAATAATAGCAATAAACCTGAATCTACTAAATAACACTAATTTCAGATAAATTATTGAGAGAAGAAACTATTATTGCCAACGTTCAAAAAGAGAAATCAGTTCCATCAAGATCTGACATCAATCATTCCATAAATAATGGTATCAATTCATATTCAACATATACAACCAATTAACGCCAGCCAATATATACTAATCAACACTTCTTCAACGCACTCTAAATATCGAAAAGATCCAATGGGAGTCTCTCCTAGCCGGTAAATAATTTTAAAAAATTTATTATTAAAAAATTAATAAAATAATTACCTGCACGTGAAGATAAAGAAAATATGATTAGGAGTCGCACCGTTAGAAACATGCTAATATAATATCGTCAATAATTAATGCATATCCCTTTTAATCTTTAAACTAATCAAAAAAAAAAAAGGAATTATTAAAGGATTATGTGTCGTTTCCAAAATAATATGAAATATTTTTAAATATTTTTACCTATCATTGTCCACTGTGCAACAAGTAAAATAATATTAAATGTTAGATGATATTTAGTAATTGCTATTACTATACTTTTATTATTTAATATACAAGAAATAAAGAAAGAAAAAATTAATTAATTTCTTAAATGATTTTTTTTATTGGCTGCCTCACATTACATTCTTATCTATTATATTATATACAGGTTAGTGATATCAATTAGCAGAATTATAATTTTTGTCAGAAACTGACAGATTAAATTTTTTTCAATCTTTTGTTTATCTTGGAGATTCTTGCAATCAATGCTAAAAGTTGGATTTCTGTTGCTACACCTTCTAAAATTTTCCTATGTGCCGTTCCAACTTCCTATAAATCATTAATTAATTCAAAAAATATTATATTAGTGAATTAAATTTGTGAGAAGAAAAGTAAGGAGAGGAAAATATACAACAAATAATTACAAATATAATTTCCAATCTCATTGCTTCATTTATTTCATTTTTTGTCTTTAATGCCCTGAACAGAGTAGTGGCAATGCCCTCAGCACTATGTCCCTTATGTAAAAGGTTTGTCATTTTATCCATAGCCTCTGATACATTTCCATTTAAACAATTATCAAGAATTTCACCTAATAAGTGTGGGTGTGGCACATCACAATTCACATAGACGTTCTCTTCAGTAACTATTCCAAATCCATTGAAAATTGACTGTAAATTATTGATAGCTTGTCGCATGTCACCTTCTGATGTAAATACGATTGCATCAATACCTTTAGGAACATATTTTACCTAAATTTTAATACAGTGCAAGATAATCAGAAAAATATAGTAAATTATGATAAATTTAATAATTATTATTATTATTATAGTAAATATATTTACATCTTGATGTTTACAAATTTCTAATAATCTTTTTTCGATCATATCATCTGTTAATTTTTTAAATTTAAATATAGTACATCTGCTTTGAATTGGTTCAATAATTTTGTTTGATATGTTACATGCAAGTGCAAATCTAGTTGTCTTTGAAAATAATTCTATAATACGACGAAGAGATTGTTGTGCACCAATTGTCATACTAAAAAAGAATAAAATGATTAATATTCATTTAAAAATTTATATTAAGGTTAATAATGATAATACATTATTATTATCATTATTATTATTATTATTACCAGTCAGCTTCATCCAATATAATAATTTTATGTTTACCAACTGGTAAATTAATTTTTCTTTGAGCAAATGTTTTGATTGTATTTCTAACAACATCAATACCTCTAAATAATAACAAATACAATAAAGGATAAGAAAATAATAATAAAATTTGTATAATAATAATCAAATCTATTTTTCTACCTATCATCGGATGCATTTAGTTCCAACACAGCATCATTATTATAATGATCTCCTAATAATGCACGCGCAAGACATAAAATACTAGTAGTTTTACCAACACCTGGTGCTCCAGATAAAAGCATATGTGGCATATTACCATCATTTGCAATCACCTTCAGCCTCTCAACAATATCTTCATTTCCAACTATATCATCTAAAACTACCGGTCGATATTTTTCAAGCCTTTTTATATGAATTTATATAATAAAGTAATTATTAGACTTTAAAAACACGCGTTTTAATTTTTTAAGAAAAACCACATGTATGTGTATGTGTATGATAGGTACCAAGGAAGTCCTGAACTCATATCTTCTTTTTTGTTAATATGTAATTTATTTATAAATCTTGGAATAATATCAAAAATATTTGAGCAACCAATGTAGATCAACTTTGTAATTATCATTTATTGTAAATCGTTTAAATTAAATAAAAAAAAGTAATACATAATTAAAGATGGAACTAATACTAGGAATTATTTATGACAACTAAACTATTTCCATTTTTACATCTTGGATGATTTCATCACGAGCAACAGAGTTAGCAATTTCTCGTCGAATTTCAGGTGTGATTTGTTCATGCAATTTAGATTTAAGTACATCAAACAGTGCTTCTTTCTGCTCTGGTGTCAAATCTTGTTTATATCTTTTAAAAATAACATAATTAGCAATGAATAATTAGTAATATAACAACAATAAAATAATAATAACTCTCTCAAAAAAATTAAAATTACCTTTGTGCAAATACTAAAAAAGATTGATGCCATAATACAGGCATTTTCCTTTCATCGTTTTTAAATCTAACAAAATGAAATACCAAAGCATCTACAACTTTGTATGGTAATGCATATTTTTTATCAAGCAAAATGCGAATAAATAAACTGCTGGGACCAGTATAATCCATTTCTGCCAATCGTAATAGTGCAGCTGAAGAATGAAGCATCGGGATACTAACTTTAGATATTACACTACCAACAATTGCTGCTTCCTTTAATGTGCATGTGCCAGACTATAATAAATGTATATGTAGTATATGTGCGTGCGTTGTTTATATGTATTTGTAATATTAATTATAATAGCAATAATTATAATGATAAATTTATAATTACCTCACACAATGGAAACAAAATTCCTTTGAAAAATGCAGCTGGCTTATATAAAGCTTTTTTTAATGCCATATATAGATGAGGATTAAGTTTTTTGTTTTCTTTTATATCATCACGAACTTTATCCAAAAGTACAATATCAAAAAATCTAATTACCAAATAATATATATATATATAAGTTATATATTTAAGTCTATATATGTTATGCAAAAGTTCATAAAATAAATAAATACCTTTGAGATTGTTTATCACTTAGATTAGAAGCAAAAATACGAGTTGCCTGCAATGTTGCATGTGGAGTCCAATTTTCAGGTTTTGTGAGATATAATATATCCTCCCAATCTGGTAGTGATGGAATAATTTTGAAGGCCTTTGGAATCTTACCAGATTTATACCCACTTAACAAAGTACCAACTCTGAACAAATTAATATAAAAAATTTATTATATTTATTTCCTTCGATGCATATTCGCATCTGCCTAAGAGGCATACTATCTAATTAATAGGTTTATAAATATATAAACGTAAATAATATACTTACTTTGAGTAAACTTCAACAACTTTTGGATTCACAGTTGATGATGATGTTGATTCCTTATCTGAAATGATAAAACATTTAAATATATTTTGAATTCGTTATATTTTTTTTAATGCTATTTGGAAAATTTTTTAATAACCTAAAGACATTTGCTTTTTCGAATTTTGCTGTGATTCAATTTTTTCCATTATAATATCTGACAAAGTTTTACTTTCTTTTGGCGTTTTAGATATAAATTTATCAAAAATTTCTTGATCATTTTCATCTATTTTCTAATCACACACATACAAATATATAAATTAATTAAAAAATGATAATAATGATAACAGCAACAATAATAGTAATATAAAACTTCATACTAAGTCTACAATATCTTTATCGATATCATCATCGTCATCTTTTTCTTCTTCTGAATAATCATCTTCGCTATCGTCATCAACAAAAGATGAAAATAATCTATTTACATGACTAATGTATGATTAAGAAGAAATAAATATTGATTTTATTTGAATTCAAATAAATAAAATCAATCAACAATTATTACTTTTGTTTCTCAATTGTTTTGTCCTCCTCCTGCTTCTGTCCTTGCTCTTTTTCTAATTCTTCTTGCTGTTCTTTTGCAATTTTGAGAATTTTTTGTGAAAGCTTAGAATCAACAAATTCCTGTTTATAATTAAGTGCGAGCCATTGTTAAAAAACAGTTGCTTTGAAATTAATTCTGATTATAATTGTTTTTACACATACATCGTCCTTTTCTTTTTCTTGGTTTCTGATCGCATATTTTGTTCTTGCTTTTCTATTTGGCAATATATTTTCTGTTAATTGTACATGTAAAGGTTTTTGTTGAACTTTTTTTGAAGATTTTTCTTTTCCCATAATTTAGAAAAATTGATTATCAAAAAAAAAATTTATTTTTGTCACACACATTATATATATACAGTGCGTCTCGATTTAGCCAGGAAATTTATCCGCTAATACTAAATCGAGATATCCGTATAATGATTGCTTATAATAACAATCGGTCAACTTCAAAATACCAGAACAAAAAAAAATTATATCATTTTAAAAAATTTAACCGATAAGTTTTATTGTTCATGACTCAAGCTTCAAAACTTATCGGCTGGTTTTTTCTTAAACTGAAAATTGGCTGAGCCTTAGCATTTTGAAAGATTCCGAATTTGTTATACACTCAAGAAATTAAGTAAATTTCGTGTAACAACTTTTTTTCATATAATATTTTCTACACATACATTTGATTTATTTGGATTATTTGTTTTATTAATAAATAAAAGTTCTTTACTATTACAACAAAAAAGTTTAACGAACAAAAGAAAATCATTACCAAATTTGGTCAATTGTAACACGAAAATTATTGTTGAAATTTAGATTCATAGACTCCCTTTTTAAAGCTGAATTGAATGGTGGTAGGTTTTTTCAAATCAAATGTGTGGATCACATAAATTTTAACTTGAGTAGGTGATCTGCACTGTATCCGTTAGATCAAAATTTTGAATAATTAATTTGTTATGCAACACTTATAAATTTTATTTTTAATTAATTATGACAAAAACATTTCATCAGATATCATTTAATCATGACATCATCAATGGCACATTTTTGACATTTAACCGACAAAAAGTCATGTTATTTAAGAAGTATAAATATGTTTGAAATCTCCTTTAGTGAAAAAAAATTAAATAATAATTGAACAACATTTTCATTAATTAATAATCTGGCATGATTGATTGATTCATAGCCCTTTCTGATGATTAACAGTTTGGCCAACATTTAATTATTAGTTAGGGACCCCTTTTATTAGTTTTACTATATTGCGCCTCAAGTAGCGTAGTTGTATATTTTAGTTTAGTTTGAACATTATTGTATCAGATTTAGTGACTCTGTGCAATATGAGTTGAGTTTCTATTCGTAATAAAATTTTTGTTCGAATTATTCAAATCATTCGTTTATTATTCGCATTGTATCATTCGTTTATTATTCGAGTTTTATCATTCGTTTATTATCCGAGTTTTATCATTCGTTTATTATCCGAGTTTTATCATTCCTTTATTATTCGCATTGTTATCGTTCTTTATTATTCGAATTGTATCATTCGTTTATTGTTATAATTCGAATTATCATCATTCGTTTATTATTCGAATTGTTATTATCATTCGTTTATTGCCATAATTCGAATTATCATCATTCGTTTATTATTCAAATTGACATCATTCGTTTATTATTCAGATTGACATCATTCGTTTATTATTCGAATTGCATCATTCGTTTATTGTTATAATTTGAATTATCATCATTCGTTTATTATTCGAATTGTTTTGCTTGAATTATTATTATTGCTATTTACAAATTTCGTTTGTTAAAAAAAATCAACCAAGTTTTTTTCTCTTATTTAATTAAAAAAAAAAAATCCTTTGCAAAGATTCATCAATGGATTTCATTTGTTTTCTCTGAAATAATTTTCCTATCTAAACCATTCACTATCTCGCTCAAATGGTTAAAAATCAAAACAAATGTTTATTTATCGATCATTGAATTTAAAATTGGCCGATAATAATGATGTTATTAGATCCCAGACTCGAAAATATACTAACACGTTGGTGACAAGTCTTTGACGATATTGAACCTGGGATAAAGGCTCCAAGACAAGGCAATATCCGAAATGTCAAAACAAGGCAAAAACCTAACTGTAGACAGCGATAGACACTGTGCAAAAAAAAAAAAACTAAAGCGAAATACGATTTCTTTTTAGTCAAGTATCTGCTTTGCTCAACCCTGACGTTTTGAACAAAAATAAATAAATTTTTCGGTTACTAAATAAATAGCAATGGGAATTCGCATGATACATCGATGTAAAATAACCATAACCATTCATCATTTTTGGAAAACGAAAATATTTTCAATTTAAAAAATTAATTTCAAGCCAACGTAGCAAAAAAAGAAAAAAACGATTCATTACAAAGTTTTACCCTTTGATTTTGATCTCATCTTTCCCCAACAATTCAGTTGAGCAACAAAATGTTTAAAGATTCGTGATTCATTACCGTAACTGTACTGAATTTGCCGCTTCAAGTTTTAATATTAACGAGACTTCCTTACAACAGAATATTTCCTGTGCATTCAAAAAAAAAAAAAAAGGGAAAAAGTATTACACAGAATATAAAAATCTACACAAAAATTACATTTAGAAAGGAACCGTAACACGGCATTATTCCCAAAGAAAAAAAAATCTCCAAGTCAAATTTATATATTATAGTTTTATATAATGTCATACGTTAAACTATTATCATCATCATTACCAGAAAGAAAGAATTTTGTATATAAAATTTGTAATGAAATGTATAGCAATGCAGTAGTTAATTCTTATAGAGAAAGTAGAAAAGATTATTTTTTTTCATTGGCTGAAAAAAACAAGGAGCTTTCTGAAAATGAAAAAGAATTTTGTAAGGAATGGTTTATTTATTATTTTGAATTAAATAATGCAGTATATAAATTGGGTAAACCAAAAGAATGTAACAAGTGTAAATTGACAAGATACTCTGATAGATTCTGTGAAGGTTGCATTAGTTTACAATTGCAGAGTATTTTCACCACTTGGACATCTGGAAATAAGATAATTGATGATTTTATTCAACAATGTCAAATGAAATCATCTCTGCCAACTTTTATTTTAGAATGGATACCTTTTGAGCAATTTAAAAAAGTGACAAAGTTGACAGAAGGTGGATTTAGTTCAATTTTTACTGCTACATGGACAAGAGGAACTATTGATGATTACAATGAAAATAAAAAGAAATTTAGTTATTTAGGAGGAGGGCAAGCAGTAGTATTAAAAAGTTTAAATGATTCAAGTAATCCAGGAAAAGCCTTTTTTGATGAGGTCGGTAGTTGTCATTTAAAACAATACTGTATTATATAATAAATACTAATTGATTTTATATTCAATTTCAGGCAATGAATTATTGTAAAATTAAATCAGGGTTGATTGTTAAGTGCTTTGGTATAACTAAATTCCCAGATAATGGAAATTATGCAATAGTTCTATCTTATGTTGAAGAAGGAAATTTAAGGGGTTATTTACAAAAAAACCATTTAAATTTAACATTAAAAGACAGAATTACAATCTTTGATTGTTTATGTGGTGCATTATATCGTATACATGAAAAAGATTTAATCCATTGTGATTTACATAGTGGTAATATACTTGTGAATGGAGGTAATTGTTTTATTACAGATTTGGGATTATGTGGACCAGTTAATGAAAAGTCATCAAATAAAGTCTATGGGATTATATCATATGTTTCACCCGAGCTACTTGGAGGCAAAAAGAATTCAAAGAACACAAAGAAATCAGATATCTATAGTGTTGGGATGTTGATGTGGGAGATATTTGCAGGTCATCCACCATTCAACAATAGAGCTCACAATCATTGTTTAATTTTTGATATATGTGCAAAAGGTTTATGACCACCAATATTACCTGAAATGCCTGATGATTATGTGCAAATGATGCAGAGATGTTGGGATGTGGATCCATCAAAA